TTAGTTTGTATCGGGTTTGCGTATTTCTGTAAAGCACAATATTCTTGTGTGCGTATGGACTTACAAATGATGGAAAATGATCTGCTCTACAGAACAGTTAACCCGGGTTAAATATATACAGTTTTGGAAATTTGGAATAATCCACGCGCAATTGTATGATGATGGAAATAGGATTTTGGATACATTCTTTGATATTATGTCTCAGATATATCCATTAAACGAAAATGTACTTGACATTGCATCATAAATATATTTTGACATACTTGTTTAGGTTTTTATGTATTTGTACTCCCACCGTTATACGGAAAAAAAGTTTGGTTTATGTGTAAGTTGCAAGTGCTTTTAGCACGGCGCGCTGCGCGCGCCCCACCCCTTCCCGCCCCACCCCCGCTCACCCCCTCCCCTCCCTCTCCCTCCCCCACCCCACCTGCTCTCTCTCCTCACCTTCTTCCCCGCACTTACCATAGACATAGAAGATAGAAGATAGTGACACGTTGGGAACACATACTGGGTCTATTTTTTATGTCTATGCAACTTGCCACCTTCTGTCATACCGACGATTTGTAGCGACACAACATGGGTTGCGTGGTGGGGTGGGAGAGGGGAAGGGGGCGGGGGTGGGGCGGGAGTGGGGCGGGCTGCGATAGGGGGGTGGGGCGCGCACAGCGCGCCGTGCTACACGCATTTGCAACTTACACATAAACCAAACTTATTTTCTTCATAACTTTTAACAATGAGCGACGGGAATGGGCAATGACCTTGACCTCCTTGGGGGTCAAGGTCAACATCAAGGTCAAACGGAAGTTGATTGGCGGGTGCTAAGTAAAGGGAAATATTTACCTCAGAGTGCAATAGAATTAAACAAAAACCATGTTTTTCACAGTGGAAGTAAACACGTGGACATTAGATAACATTTTTCGCGAGAAATTAGAGATAGAGGCGAAATTAGCATTAACTATTTGCCTTCTGATAGAATGATAGCCGATCTACTAACAAAATCTTTAACTAAAACCAAACATGACAAATGCGTAAAGTTATTAGGATTGAGATAACGATAAGATTATAGGAAAACTACATTTTTTTTAGTCTGCGACCGTTTTACATCAGGTGATGGTACAAACAGTATGATACATTTTTTGTGTTTATTATTTTTTTTTTGTTACACTGATAGGAGGAGTGTTAGAGTAGATAAGAATCATTGCATCTCCCTTTTAAACCACTCATTATTTGCCTTCCCTGATTGCGTGCCACCGCTTACACCTTTTTCTTAAAGTGTTCCACTCTCTTGCGAGCGGTGCGCTGGCGAATCGCTTTTCGCCCTCTTGCGTTCTTCTACACACTTTATAGTCCTGCGTGCGTTCTGTCCCGTGTGTGCACGTTAATTCTTGTAGGCTCTCTGGGCTGTATTGTAAAACCACAGAGCAATAAACGTTTCCTTTGACGATTAAGTCGTAGACAGTGTGTACCCTTTTTAGCCCTAATCAAACAAAAATATCATGCGTACATTATAAAAAGTCGCTCTACCTGCAATAGTAAATAGATACAAAAGGGTTAAGATGATAAAGAAAAGTATAGACGGAATATTTGGATTAGATAATTTTTTAAATCTAAGAACACATAAGAATGAAGAACAATTAATAAGTCACAAGAATATAACACAAATGCACTTAAATTTAACATAAAATAATGAAGAACACATAAGAAGTAGGATTTACAAAACACATGCGAGAATCAATCACCTTAATTTAGTAACGTGAGCAGTACGTGAGCAACAGTACGTGAGCAAAACACGGTAGTTTAGTAACAAGATATCCTAATAATTTTATTAAATTATAATAAATAATTTAATAAAATTATTAGGATATCTCACATTTTGCTTAAATTAATCCCCAATCCTCGCGAGAGAGGCATCCAAGAAAAAGCAATTGATTTAAATGCTCACCCGAAAGTCTACTGCGATTTTCCACTTTAATTGCTCCCGCTCTGGAAAATAATCGCTCGGATGGAACAGACGTTGCGACGACGCTTAGATATTTCATGGCTACTTTATATAGTGATGGATACGCTGATTTGACAGTTTCCCAGTGTTTCAAAGAATTTTGGTAGCGTGAAATTACTGGTTGATTAAGATACTGTCGTAATTCAAGATTGAGACCTTCTTTGTCATTGCTTATCGAATCAATATTTTTAGTCACTATTTCATCCTGATATTCCCATATACTTGATTCATTATTTGATGATCTTGTCGGAACCCTATTGGGAATTTCAGAAACTGTATTAGGTTTCATTAAGGTGTTAATTTTTGTAATTGCTGAGGATGCTGCCAGTGCAGATTGAAAATGTAGTTTCTTGAATCGCGAATCCAACATAGTTGAGATTGCAAGGATTGGATTAAATTCCAAAACTTTAAACTTTTGCTCTGTTAACGCCAGAAGATGATTCTTAAACTGTATACTTGTTTCCGTCACATTGTTATCGACTTCCAATTGTTTTGGTTCCCAAGAGCATATTGCTACTTGCATACAATGTATTATTGGTATAATGACACTCGCCGTTGGATATGAATCGCCGCTTATTTCTGTAATGACCCTTTCGATAGGTGTGAGCAAGCTAATAAGATTCTTCAATAGTTGAATTTCATAACGTGTTAGCATCTCTGGAATATTTCGACATTTGAGAGTTACAGGATAAACAATTCCTCGAGAATGAGGAATCTCTCCAGCATGTATAAAGTTGAATTCCATCGAGTTGGAACGTCTTGGATGAATTTGAGAGCTGTTGATACAGTTTTTCCGTCGCGAACTTGTAATCGTTTTAATTCATCCGAAGCTACGACACTTCTTTTTACCAAAGTGACAATATTTCTCACTTTTGTAATAGTATCTCTCACGTTTGTCATCGAATTAGAAGTCATCACATCGGGAATCAAATGTGACAGTACGTGAGCAAAACACGCTAAGTGCTTGGCTCGACCAAACGAATCGTACACAGCTCTTTTTATATTTGCTGCACTATCAGAGACAATGGCTGTCGCGTTCTCTGGATTTAATTCGAAGGAATCGAGTACGGAAAGTAGAATTTCTGATAGATATGTAGCTGTATGACTTTCATGTAATGATTCAACTGCCAAACATCTATTCTTCAGTGTTCCGTTGGGCATCGCATAATGAATTGTTATTCCAATGTAACTTTGATTGCTTATGTCCGTCCAATTATCGCAGGTTATTGTGTATGATGTAACTTCTTTGAGATGTACCTTGACATCCTTCTTGAGCATTTCATATTTCATAGTCATTAGTTTTGTGATTGTCTTCCTACTAGGAAGATTATATAATGGAACTGCTGTTTTTATCAGTAGCTTAAAACCATCATTTTCGACTATTGATAGAGGTGCATTATCAACAGCAATCATATACAGGGTGTGTCCTAATACCAGTATCACCCGTAACTGGCAGATAGACCGGGGCAAACTGAATAGAAAATACCATTTTGCAAAATTCGCAATAGTTATCGAGAAATGAATTTTAATGTCTGAGCGAATGAAAGCGTAGACGGCGGCAGGCCGGACTTGGCAGGCAACGGTGGGGCATCATCTAATAGCGAGAGGTGGAGCGACGCGCCGAAAAAAAGTTGTCACGCAGCGAGCGGCGAGCTTCAGTACACTCTCCGCTCGCCCCTCACCGCTCGCCCCTCGCCACGCGTCGTTCGCCGCTCGACGCTCGGCTCTCGCCCCTTGCCCCTCACCCCTCGTCCTTTACATGTGGTCGAGCATTATCATAAAGCAATATGCATATTGCAGGTTGCTTGAAGCGTAATTGCTGGTGCATTTCCTCTATCTAAGAACAGTATTTTCCGGCATTAATGATTTTACCAGTACCGGGATTCTGTAACTTGCTATCGATGTTTTTCGGTATCGAAATTAAACTAGCGACAGCAAAGACGTTAAAAGCACAGCTTTCATTGGTTGGTTAACGATACCGAAAACCATCGATAGCAAGTCACAGAATCGCCGTACAGGTTTCAAGAACGAATAATTAATAATGCCAGCTCAATAGACGTGGAGTTATTACTGCTTCATGATAACGTTCGACCATATG